TTTATATAGGCCTCAAAAGGGCTGCTGCAATCAGGCACCTGGAGGCTGCCGGCTCCAGGCCCTTAAAGTGGCAGGAGCACCCTATGCTCCGCCACACCTGGTGATATGAAGAGACTGATGAAGTTAGGAGTTCATTATTTCTTTGTGATCCCTCTGAAGTCAGACTGCAAGATTCATGAACACACACTGGATTTTGGGTGTTTTCCATTTCCTGGTAAAAATAGCAAATTCTCTAATTAACATTAGAGCATAAGTGTCTCTATTTGTATTGAAGCCTGGCAATTACAATCACTGACATTTGCTGGGAGGGCAATACAGCAGTACACAGGCAAACCAGGAAGTTTTTGGAGACTGTTGAGGAGAGACCAACTAGGGGCTGTTCTCTTCTTGACCTGCTGCTCACAAACAGGGAAGAATTAGTGGGGAACATAGAAGGGGATGGCAACTTAGAATCATAGAAAGTTATGGTTGGAAGGGACCTCAGAAGGACATCAACCCCCTGCTCAAAGCAGGACCAGCCCCAACTAGATCAACCCAGCCAAAACTTTGTCTAGCTGGGTTTTGAAAATTCTCAAGGGTGGTGCCTTCCACCACCTCTCTAGGTAACCTGTTCCAGTGTTTTACTACCCTCCTAGTGAGAAAATTCTTCTTAATATCTAACCTAAGCTCTCCTTGCTGCAACTTGAGACCATTGCTCCTTGTTCTGTCATCTTCCACCACTGAAAATAACCTAGCTCCATTCTCTTCTGAACCGTCTTTCAGGTTGTTTTAGACTGCTATTAAGTCTCCTCTCACTCCCCTCTTTTCTAGGCTAAATACCTGGGACAGCACCAACCATGAGATGATTGAGTTCAGGGTCCTGAGGAAAAGAAGGAAGGATAGCAGCAGAATACAGACCCTGGACAGCAGAAAATCAGACTTCAATGCACTCAGGGAACTGATGGGCAGGATCCCCTGGGAGGCCAGTTTAAGATTCCAAGCCTGCAAATAATTACACATACTTAATTTAAAGTACATGAGCAGTCTCATTCAAAGACTAGTCATTGCAGGATTGGGGCCTTCTTGTGCTTTTGTTAAAACATATACATATGTTCCTTAAGTAAATATTAAATTATTGATTGTCAGAAAACATGATCAGATCCTTAATCAGTACAATGCAATATAGATTTCTACCTAGTTTGACTTTGGGAAGAACATAGGTGATATCTATAATATTTTAAAATAAATATTGTGTCTGCCTCTGTTCATCGGATTACTATTACAGGAAACACAGGAATGGAAGGGACCTCCTGAGTCCAGCCACCTGAGATCACAAGCATGTGTGTAATAAATATAGCACTTGGCCCAAAGACTGCACAAGAACATCTGCTGTGGTCCCTCTTGTACACCACAGATAGAAAACATCCATTAACAAGCTGAAAAAATACCCTTTAAAGCACCAAAGGAAAAGAGCACATGAGACAAGAGCACTGCTAATAAATGTGCTGGCCCCTACAACGGTAGGGAATGGCAGGTAAAACATGCTTAGGTGATCTCAGGAATCCCTTGCTATGAAGGAAGCTTTATTGCTTAAATGTGGGTTGCTGAAAGTTTATCTTCAACCCCATAGTGACATGCATAAACTGAACTGCCTCCGGACAAATAAAGTAACTCTTAAATGGATAAAAAATCTGCTTCTAAACACAGTTGTGGAAAGTGTTTTTTCAGGGTTGGACTGAAACAGAAGCTACAGGGGGAAGTAGACTATTTTGGGCAACCCCCGGGGCTGGGGGTTGCCTGGGACAAATAGAATGCACCTAAATTTGCAAGAAGTGATACCCTTTTAGGTAAGATAATATATTTATAAGCTTTAAGCTGTTTTAGCACTTTCCCTCTCTGTTGCTTGCATTCCTGTAGATCAATAAATAATACTTTGTTTTTAAGACACTTTTTTCTCACTTTTTTCACAGGGACGATGGGAGATGCAGCAGGGGCTGGAGTTGTGCCATGTGCCTTGTGTAGAGCCAGAGCAACTGTTGCTACTTCTCATGCATGCCCCAAGCTGGATCCAGCCTACAAGGGGCCTTGTGGCCCAGATCCGGCACAGGCTGCAAGGTGAGTTTGACATTGTCAAGTTAATCCAGGTGCTTGTAAAATCTTTTTTTACAAATGAGGTTACTGGCTTGTGGTTAAGGCAAGACAAATGTAGTACTATAGTTTTATCAATACTAACCAAGTAAGGGGAATCAATAATTTTAGCATTTACAAATGTTTTCTTTCTTTGCTGTGTAAACCTCAGAAAACACAGAAAAAATAATGAAAATTCAACATCTTAGAAAGATTTTTGAAACCAGCATCATCAGGATACATTTAAAATCTGTCTCTGGGTTATATTGTATAGCTTTTTGTCATGCTAGGGACATCTACACATTCACTTTACTGCAGAGTTGACTCATTAGCTCCACAGTGGCCATGTCTACATAAGATACTGACTGCACAGTCATTACTCACCAGTCATTTAGTATTTGTGTAAACTCTTAACCAGAGTTACTGTGCAATAGTGTCATTGAACATTTTTTTTGTGATGCTGACTGCACAGTAGCCTGAGACTACTGCACAGTAGCATCATATCATGCTTGCTGCCACACAGTGCTATTTCCCAGTAGTCACGGGCTACTGCACAGTCAGTGTCTTGTGTAGGCATGGCCAGTAAAGTGTCACCATCTACATGTATGCCCCTATTGGGCCAGAGTAAACTAACCAACTCCACCATAGGATATACTGCCTGACACAAGTAATATCCTATGGCAGAGTTATTTACTCCGCCACAACACACATGCAGATGGTGACTGGGGGTGGCGAGGGCACTAGGGTGCTACAGTGTGGGAGCTACCTACTGGCAAGCCCCACACTGTAACATCCTCGTGCCCTAACCAGCCCCTCTCCAACATATTGAGTTGGGGCTGGCAGGCTGACCCCTTGGACTTCCTGCCAACTGGGGCTGCACCAACCTGGCTGAATGTGTTGTGGTCCTGGGCGCACATGTAAATGCTGCACCTGGGAGCAATAAAATCCAGTGCAAACTGTGCTGGAGTTTATTGCTTCGCATTAATAGCATGTGTAGATGTGCTTGCTGAGTATTAACTTAGAGCTAAAATAGTCCTTTTGTAATTAAGGAGAGTAGCAACTTAGTAAAGCACTACTTCACACACCAAATGTTACAAAGCTTCCCTCTAAGAAAACCAAACAAAAGGTCTTTATATCATGCCCCAAATTTCAAGATAAATATATCCTTGAACCCGTTAAAATAGAATTTGTTTGTCTTCGATTCATTAGTTTCTGTCTTCTCCATAAGAATTCATTTTCCATAAATAGTCAGTCTTCTCACTGTCAAGACTTTGTAGAAAAATATTTTTTATTTTATATAACGTGTTCTGAAATGTTTAGGTATGCTGTAGGACTTGAACAACTTCAGGTGCAGAGGGCCAGATATACAAACATCTAAAAATATGGTGAAAGATTTCAAAATTCCATACAAAATGCTTAAAACTGCTGCTTTAAAAACAATTGCCGCTGGTATCAATAATGAACAGTATATTTTGTTGCACTGACCTACTGCCTAAGTAATATTAAATGAGTTGTATTTTAAAAGAATGCATATAAATTCTACATTACTTTGTGATAAGCTTATTACTGACTGTACCTATTAAAACAGCATATTAATTTATCATGACACATACTGGGTACATCTACACATGCAATTAGTGTGCCCCAATAAACTCTGGCACAGTTTACACTGGAGTCAGCTGCTCCTGGGCACCGCATCTTCACATGCGCCTGGGACCACAGCAGTTTGAGCAGGGGTAGAACAGCTGCAGGTTTGCAGCAGGCTCGAAGGGGGGGTCAGGCCTAGGCTCTGGGTTGCAGTGTTGGGCACCAGAAGGGTTGGCTGGAGCATGAGAGTGCTCAGTGGAGCCGGATGACTGACCCGGAGCCTGCTACCAGCCTGGAGCTGTTTCACCCTGGCTTAAACTGTTGCTGTCCTGGTGACTGTCCACATACGCTTTCTGCACAGTGACTGACTCTGCCATAAGATAGTACTGGCCGCGACAGTACTATCTTACAGCAATGATAATTAACTTACTGTGCCCT